ACCACACGTAATGTGTCAAAGTTTGCGGATGACACTAAGATGACTGGTAGAGCAAAGTGTGCAGAGGACTCTGAAAGTTTGCAGACGGATATAGATAGTTTAAGTGAGTGGGTGAAGGTCTGGCAGATGGAATTCAATGCTGATAGATGCGAAGTCATCCATTTGGTAGGAATAACAGTAAAAGGGACTGTTACATGAACGGTAAAAAAATTGCAGCATGCTGCTGTACAGAGGGACCTTGGTGTCCTTGTGCATGAATCGCAGAAGGTCGGTTTGCAGGTACATCAGGTAACTAAGAAAGCAAATGGAATTTTGTCCTTCAATGCTAGAGGGATTGAGTTTAAAAGCAGGGAGGTTATGTTATAGCTGTATAGAGTGCTGGTGAGGACACACCTGGAATACTGTGTGCAGTTTTGGTCTCCTTACTTGAGAAGGGATATACTAGCACTGGAGGGGTACAGAGGAGATTCGCTAGGTTGATTCCGGAGTTGAGAGGGTTGGCTTATGAGGAAAGGCTGAATAGACTGGGATTATATTCATTGGAATTTAGAAGAATGAGAGGGATCTTATAGAAACATACAAAATTATGAGGGAATAGATAAAATAGAAGCAGGGACATTGTTTCCACTGGGGGGTGAAACTAGAACAAGAGGGCATAGCTTCAAAATTAGGGGGAGCAGATTTAGGACTGAATTGAGGAGGAACTTCTTCACCCAAAGGATTGTGAATTTGTGGAATTTCTGGTCCAGTGAAGTAGCTGAGGCTTCCTCATTCAATATTTTTAAAGCTAAGGTGAGAAAATTGGCTAGCTTCCTGATTGGGTCACTTGCCTGCTGGGACAAGGGGGGCCCTCCACTTGCCTCAATTGGGACAGCAAGTGGAAGCATGGATGAGTAGTAGTCAGGTTGCCTCTGAAAATGACCTCCTGTCTTTGCCTCAGAAACCCTGACAACACTTTTCCCCATGACTCTCCAACATGTGAAAAGCAAAAGAAAACAACTTTTCTTTTGTCATTGGATTCCCTAAAGACTAGACCTAGGCCAACAGTCTTTAAGAGCCAGCAGCTGTAATATGCACAGTCAGCTCTTAATAAGGTGATTGGCTCCAAACCTGGCGGGTTTTATGTCATCCTGAACATGCCTGCCCAAAAATTAGACCGAAAACTGAAGAATTGTAGCCTCAAGCCCTACAAATGATCATTTCAATTTGCTTCAACTCTTTCAGGAAATTGCAATCCATTTGCCCAGTCCCTCTTTATTTTTGAACTATCAATTCTATCAGCTGTGCCTTAGTCATAAAAACTGACCATAAACAAGCCAAGTTACTGAGAAATGTACACAAGTAATTTCACACTTTTATTCAACATACCACACTTAACAACGACAGTCAATGGAACTGAGGTGCAGACCAGCCATGAACTGTTTGAATTTCAGAACAATCAATAGGGGGTTACTTCTATTGCTATATTCATATTATGTCCAAGGACAGGCCAGCAAGTGGCTTGTTTACAGTGACTATGAACCAGTTCTAAGAGATGACATTTGCATGAGACTTTAATAAAGGCCCACCTGATGCTCCAGGGGAATAGTGGAAATCTCATGATACAATTTAAAAGGAAGTTCTTTCCCAGTATTCTGGTTAACATTCAGCTGCAGCTTTTAATTAATTGTCTTATCATTTGACTGTTTTTGATCATTGTTAACCAAAATATTTAGTTACATAACACTGCATTCAAAAACAATTAACTGTAAGAATGTTGACACAGTCCAGTATAAAAGGTCTGTATATAAATACTAGTTATTATTATTTCCAACAACTTACAGGATAGTTACTCTGATGCTGCCCCCCTTCAGAATGGGAGAATTTTTTTTTTGTTTTACAGCGTGAATTATTTAATCTAGTGATGACCAATTTGGATAGAAAATTCATTTGTAATTGCCAACTTCAGAGTTTAAGGAAGGGAAAAAGAAGACAATATAGCCTGGTTAGCTTGACTTGGTCGATGGTAAGATTTTAAGAGTCCATTATGAAGGATAAATTTGTGGAATACTTGGAATTGCATGGTAAAATACAGGTGATTCAGCATGACTTCATCAAAGCGGCAAACTGTTTGAATTCTTTGAGGAGGTAACAAGCAAGTTAGACAAAGGAGAGCAGAGGACATGATCTATTTGGATTTCTAGAAGGTCTTTGACAAGGTGCACGCAGGAGGCTGTGAAACAAGGTAAGAGCCCATCGTGTTAGGGGCAAGGTACTAGCATGGATAGAGGACTGGCAGAAGGCAGAGTGGGGATAAAGGGATCTTTTTCAGGATGGCAGCCAGGGACTAGTGGAGTTCTGCAGAACTCCATGTTGGGACCACAACTATTAACGTTATACATAAATGAATAAACGATGTGGACAAAGGAATTGAGAGTACTGTTGCTACATTTGCAGATGACACAAAGACAGGTGAAGTAATAGGTAGTGTTGAAGAAGTGGAGAGGTTTGGACAAGCTGGGAGAGTGGGTAAAGAATTGGCCGGTATAATACAATCTGGGAATCTGAGAATATGCACTTTGTTAGAAGGCTGACATTTCTCAAAGGGGAATATTTTCTAAATGGGGAAAGGCTTTAGAAATCTGAAGCACAAATGGACTTACAAGAATCTTGAACAAGGACTCCTAAGGTTAACATGCATGTTCAGTTGGCAGTTAGGAAGGCAAATGCGATGTTTGCATTAATTGCAGGAAGGTTAGAATACAAGAGTGGGATGCACTGCTGAGAGTGTATAAGGCTTTGGTCAGACTGCATTTGGAATATCGTGAGGATATGGAGGTGCTGGCTTTGGAGGGGGTCCAGACAAGATTTACAAGAATTATCCCACAGGTGAAGGCCTTGACGTATGAGGATTGGTTGAGGACTCTGTATTGATGGAGAAAGATGAGGTGGTATCTCCTTTGAAACTTACAGAATACAGAGGCCTGGATAGTGGATGTGGAGAAGATATTTCCACTAGAGAAAAGGCTAGGAACTGAGGGGACAGCCTCAGAACGAAAGGACAACTCTTTAGAACTGTGATGAGGAGGAAGGTGCTGAATTTGTGGAACCCATTGCTATAGAAGAGAGTGGATGCCAAATTGTTGAGTGCATTTAAGACAGAGATAGATAGGCTTTTGCTAAGGGGATCAAGGCTTACAGGAGAATGGGATTGAGAAACATAATCAACCATGAACAAATGGTGGAGCAGACACAATGGGCCAAATGGCCAAATTCTGCTGCTATATCTCATGGTCACATTTTCTTCCATGGTAGCAAGATCTTAAATTCTTCTCTCAATCAAAACCAAGGAAAATTGATTTGTTCATTTATTGCATTGCTGCTGCAGAGATCACTATGCATTTGATTTGTTTCACCATCAATCCAGATGCAATTGATAAAAGGAATTACACAATGATGTTCACTTCCATAAGAATTATAGTGGTCAAATCTGAAAAATAGAACTGCTTTAGCAATGGGCTTTTTAGGTGTACTTTATAAATGTTTCACCATAAAAGTGTGCTATATGCGACTGATAAGATTTAGTAGTACTATAAACAGAATGGATTCACTCTGGTGGGAGAATGCATCATTCTTTAGGACAGATCCATCTCCAAATGTGACTATTACTAGTCTTATAGGAATTGTTTGCTACGAGCTTCATTATTCTTCTCTGGGCAGCACTGGCAAAGCTGATACATATTGCCCATCCTGAACTGCACTTGAAACAAGTGATTTGCTAGGTCATTTCAGACAGCAGTTGAGTCAACCACATTATTGTGGGTCAGGAGTCAAATGCAGGCCAGGTTAGTAAAGATGGCTGGTTTCTTTCCCCAACAGACATTTATGAACCAGAAGGGCTTTTAATTACAATGTTTCATGGTCACCATTACTGAGACAAGCTTTTAATTCTGGAGTTATTTGTTGAATTCAAATTCCACTAGCTATGTGGAGAGCTCCCCAGAGCATTAGTCTGGGCCTCTTGATTACCAGTCCAGTGACAAGTAATTCATCAGGATCAGATGAATTTGAATCACAAAGGCCGAGCAGCAGAGCTGTCACAAAAATGCATCATAAAGCAATTGCATTTAACAATTTATATTGTTATGGGGATAAAACACTTTAGTTCATTGCCACAATTGATTTTATGTACACAACCACCTTCCATTCCATCTTGTTCAAGAAACCATCCAGCGAGTAGTTCTGCTGTGTGAGCGCACACCAAGGTTGGGGGACATGTTGTGGTGGTGTCAATTCAGAACTTTGTTTGCAGTCATGTAGTCTATAAGTAAATCATCTAGACCAGGGCCACCCAATTTTCCATCTGAACACCTGAAAATTGTTGTAACCCTAGAATTAGAGCAGGTAGAAATAGCATGTGCAGCTTATCATTCCAACACTGGCATTTTTCCTTTGGGTCTGAAATTTCTAAGAAGGGCCCTCTTGTGGTGCAGTGATAGTATCCCTACCCCTGAACTAGGAAGAGCCCAGGTTCAAGTCCCAACTACTCCAGAAATGTATAACATCTTGAATTCAGTAGAATTGCACTGGGCAAGAGGATAAACAGAAATGGAGATAAGGCAGTGAATGAGTCAAGTTACAGATCAATCATTATTTATTAAATTATGAACAGATCAGATGGCCTAATCCGGTTCCATTGTACTTTCCTTTGACAGGAGTCACAAACCCTCAAGACTCATTCACTCTGACATCTTTTCCCTCAACTGACTCAAATTCAGCAGGCAGCATGATATATTAGAGTTGTTATCAACCATGCCCATAAGCATTACACAACATTCACGAGCATTCAAGGTTACCTGTTGTTATATACAAATTCATTCCCCATTACATCCAGGCCTGCATCTCAATTGTTCTGGCAGCAGCACAGATCTTCGAGATAAATCTTAAAAGTTAAAATCATAACTCAACGACTACAAATTCCTCCTATCAGAACACAGGATGAATACAACTCTTGAAACCTCTTTACTCAAATCCTTTATTTTATTGCAGCACAAAATTCTAGCTTTTTGAAAAGCTTTCTTGAGCTCTCCCCACAAATGTCACTTTCAATATACCATGCAGGCATAAGATGTCACAGGGAGGTGAAACAAACCAGAGTTCAATCATCCATGCAGTCTGATGGTATCGATGAAGAAACATATAAACCAGAAAAAGTGGATAGGATGACTGTAAAGTCACTTCTTGTGTAGCTATGCTCTTGTCCAAAGAACACAGTGCTTGTAAAACAGCCACAAAATATTAGCATTCGATTTTGAGTGGAATGGACAGCATCTCCACACGAAGTGAGGATACTTAGTGAAAATAAAGTGCGTGGTGCTTACTAATATCCACGCATAGGACAGAAAATTATGGGTAGGGCACATAGTTTCCTTAAATGTAGGTTGCTGTGTCCAAGGCCTCATGATCCACAGTAATGTCTGGTTGTTATCTCAAACTGCAAATTTTTTAAAAAACACAGAGTGCAGAATATTTCCCTCAAATAATCTTATAGCTCAGTTATTTACAGTGAATGATAAAGCGGTGTTTAAAATCCATGTCTTATGACAGGTGGAATACACAAAGTTTTATTTATTCCTGAGAAGAGCCATATAAACAGTGCAGCTGGTACATAGACAGACAGCAGTACTCTAAAGTTTGCAAAACATTTTTTTTTCCAATTAGCCGTATGTATTCCTCAGATTTTTTAAAACATTTAATACATAAATAACAAAATAGAATTCATATACCCCTACAATTCATGAATATTCCTAGCTAGGCAAATTGAGAACGAAAGGCCACCTTTTCAAAAGGTCTGTTCTGCAAAAAGCATTCCAAATGCAGCTTCACAGCGTACAAGGTAATAAAGTACATTGAGTACAACACTAATTGTAAACCATTTTTGAATCCATATACTAAAAAGTAAACACAAGAAAAAACCTAATGTCACAGTTTAGCAGCTGTTTGCCAATGTCACAATGTGTTTAAACACACTTTTATCCTCATTTTGCTTTCTAGTGGCAACAATACCTTTTAATCGTTGGAATGAACAGCATATACAATTAATAAATTATTTTCTTTCCTGTTATGATTTTCCCAAATTTGCAAGCAAGGTGATGCAAACTTTATATACAATTTACATACACTTTAAGGCAGGTTACAAAACATTTTCAGGTCAAAATAAATGTGTAACAAACTTAACTTTATTTCAAATTCTTATTATGGAAAATTTTCTATTCACACTATATAAACCTGAGTTTAAGCTTCCACTACAGAAATGGTCCTTGGCCACAATTCACAGTTAAATCAGCTGTAATACTATAACAGTATTTTCAGTGCTTAAAATGAGTTTCCTGAGCCACATCCACTTGCTGCATCAAAGTGTTTGTTCAGGGCTGTGGAAGGGGGTGGGGGGTTAAAAAAATTACATTAGATGTGCTCTATACATATTAATTTTTAAATACAAAAATTATTGAAAAATTAATGCCACCCAATAGCAACACTATGCTCTTAGAACATTCCAGTTACATTTTTATATATCTAGTTTTAATAAATGATCTGGGTTGAAGTTTTAGTTAAAATATCTATTGTATATCAAGTCAGTGAGCAGGCTCAGATTCCAAAAACAACGAATCAACAGGTGGTGCTGCAACCTAAATTTATTATAGCTTCAGATGTCATCGAACATTGTGCAATTTGTTATACAAGATTCGTGCTGTAGCTTCAGAGTAACCAATTGCAGGTTCTGACAACTGTTAAATATTTTGAAAGTGATTTGAAAAATATACTAGTTGAAATTACAACTCTTGTTTTCTTGCAGCTTATTTCACCCTATTGATTAATACTACTTGAAGGTCATTTGCCCCATCAACAGTGCAGCAGCTAATTGACCAACACAAATCATTAAGAATTAGGAGGCTCTGCTTTCTCTTCTTCTCTCAAGAGTTTGCTGATGCAATAGGACCTAATGAGTGACTAAAACTCAGTTACAGGCTCACTGGTTCACATATTCAGGCATATTATATTAACATATGCAGAAATCAAGGAAAAGATCTAACAGCTGTGAAATAACAGGAGTTCATGACATCACTGCATGCTACATTAAGTAATATATTGATTATTGTTTCTTTAATTTAGAAGAATGAAAGTATTGACTTTAATTTTTCAAACCGATGGGATGGTCACTGGGTTTCATAGCCAATGAACTACTGAAGTAATGCATACTTATTTTGAAATATATGTAGTTACTTAGCATCACAAAACTGTACAGCACAGAAACAGACCCTTTGGTCCAACCTGTCCATACATACCAGATATCCTAAATTAATCTAGTCCCATTTGCCAGCATTTGGCCCATATCTCTCAAAACCTTTGTTGTTCATATACCCATCCAGTTGTCTTTTAAATGTTGTAATTTACCAGCCTCCACCAGCTCATTCCATATACATACCACCCTCTGTGAAAATGTTGCCCCTTAGGTCCCTTTTAAATCTTTCCCCTCTCTCACTTTAAACCTATGCCCTCTAGTTTTGGACTCCCTCACCCTAGGTAAGAGACCTTGGCCATTCACCCTACCTATGCCTCTCATGATTTTATAAACTTCTATAAGGTCTCCTCTCACACAAAGCTCTTGGGGAAAATAGCCCCAGCCCATTCAGCCTTTCCACATAACTCTGGCAACATCCTTGTAAATCCTTCCTGAACCCTTTCAAGTTTCACAACATCCTTCCTAGTCATTTAGTCATAAAGGTCAATCGCCTTGATGATGCGGATTGAGATATAAATGTTGCCCAAAACACCAGAATTCCCCCATTCTTCTTAAAGTATGGTCATGGGGTCCTTTCCTCCCAGTCTAACAGCAGACAGGATTAGGATTTAAAGTCTCATTGAAAACACATCACCTCTGGAATGCAGAACTTAGTCTTCAACTTCAGTTTTCAGTGTGGTCAGCTTTGGCTGTGGGACTTAAATTAACTAGCTTTTGACTTAGAAGCGAGTGCTCCCACTGTGTCAAGCTGATCTGAGATTTAAGTTTACTGATCTGGAATTAAAATTAGGTGTCTTTTATTGAGAAACACTGTGGGTTTGACAGGTGAATGATCGGTTTCTGCATTGTAATGTTCAAAATGACTGAAAACATTTCCCTGCATGAAAGATCAGAAACATACCTGGTTCATACAAGGAGTGGGTGTTACTTTATCTTGAGGTTGTGGCATTGTATCAGGATCCCTTCTCCCCATATGTTTGAGAACTGGATAATCAGGCAGCAGGCTAAACAAATAGTAGAACACTTTTGTTTCTATTCTTTTTCAATATCTCTATAAACAGCACTAGAATGAAAACCTATATATACGACTTTAAGTTTTCACCTTGAGCAATACTCCAGTTATATTTAAAATGGATGTGAGGAAAACGCAGGCACACAGGATAGAATCAATCCAATTAAAAAACTAGCATTACACAAGTGCTGCAACACTCCTCCAGCCTTGTAATTTTAATATTTCTACATGAATTTGCTTACAATGAGTAAATATAAATACTCACCGATACAGCTATTTAAACTGGTGAATATTCATATTTAATTTTTAAATCTTAATGAATTTACATCATAACCACTCCACTTTTGAGAACTATGGTAAGATATTCCCAAAAGACCCAAATTAAATTTAAAATAAGGTTAGTGCTTTATTACATATTGCACCTTAACTGAATTTGCAACTGTCAAATTGTCAGGTTGCATAAAAAGTAATTAGCTTTTGCTTTCATTTTAATTCTAATCATTCTTACCTATAAACTTCCTAGCAACTGTAACTGTCTTATAATAGACTCTATAAATTAGAATACCTGCACAAACATTCACCCTATGTGACATCAGGTTGCTGTAACAATCAGAACCTGCTGCCTTAAAGAAACAGGCAATGTTACACAATGTTGCCCATCAGCAGAAGAACACATGATCTGATAAGTCACTCTTTATAAAACAAGATACTGTATGAGTTACAGACTCATGACAGGTTATTTTCTTTTTAAGTATTTAGGTGTATGTATAAGCCAATACAAATCGACTCTTCTTAATTTGAATCATTTGTTAATTCAAATTATAATGGTGCAAAAAATTCCCTCTCTTCACTGGTTTATTAAAATTAATCCATTTGAATTAATGGATAATTAAAATGTTCTTCCGTGCCAAGAACAACTTGAAATTAACAAAAGAAGACAAAGTTAACATAAAATTTTTCCTCTCCCAGAGTCATAAACTTTGTAGAGCACAAGTTGAGAAGCCAGGTTGTGGTTGAATGTTTGGATCAACTTCTTTCCTCATTCATATTGCACTACAGGACAAATTGCCAATTCAGCATATTAAACTGGATACCCAGGTATGAATATTTACTCAACACCATGAACTGGAGCTTAAAGGTGTTATGATCCCAACTGATGTTATTAATGGACAATTCAGATCCCAGATTAAAATCTGGCTTGTTAAGATTTTTTTTTAAAAACAAGATGGTCTCTCATGGAAATTTAAGCACATAATGCTGCATATTTGGTTTTAATAATGAAACAGCAGTTTATTACGAAGAAGAAATAAAAACAGCTTAAACCAAAATACTTACATAGAACACAAATTTAAATATTTTGAAATACACGATAAAACAATCCTAAAACCCACTTTTACAGCACTCACAGAGAGAATTCCCTTCTAATTGACATCTGTAGGGCTTTTTGTTTTAATTGCGGGCCCTACCTTGGAGTATAGATTAGCCTTTTTCTGGAGCCTTCATACTTTCTCAGACTCTCTCAGTTTCAAATAACCCCTTCAGGCTTTAAACACACACTCCTGGTCTGGAATCTTTACACTAAACTCCTTATTCTGAGGTAACCGCTTTCTTAACAGTTCTAAACTATCTTCCTTTCTCAGGAACAACTCTTCACACAGCTTCAGCCAAGTCTTAAGAGTCATACAGCATGGAAACAGACCCTTCAGTCCAACCCATCAATGCTGACCAGATTTCCCAAACTAAACTAGTCCCACTTGCCTGCATTTGGCCCATATCTGTCTAAACCGTTCCTATTCATGTACCTATCCATATGTCTTCTAAATGTTGGAACCATCCCTGCATCTACCAATTTCTCTGGCAGTTCATTCCACATTCTAACAACCCTGTGTGTGGAAGCAGCTGCCCATCAGGTCCCTTTTAAATCTTTCTCCTCTCACCTTAAAAATACACCCCCTAGTTTTGAACTCCCCCACCCGAGGGAAAAGACTTTTGCTATTCACCTTATCTATGCCCCTCATAACTTTATAAACCTCTATAAGGTCACTCTTCAACTGCCTACATTTTGGTGAAAAAAGTTCCAGTCTATCCTGCCTCCCCTTATAACTCAAACCCTCCTGGTAAATCTTTACTGAACCATCTCCAATTGTTCTACTAAAACCCAAAAGCTTTTGTGTTACCTCCAAACATTCCCCAAAAATTCCAGAATTTTCTATATGATCACTTAATGCACTATACTATTTATGTTGTGCACTCATAAACCCTCCCAATATAAACCAAACCCCATGATTTGCCAGGAAGGGTTTCTCATATTGTTTGAAATGAAATCACCAGGGTGACAGAAATACTTGCAAGTTGATCACTGAATGCCTTCTGAACACAGACCAAATCCACATGCCACTAGCTCAAATCCAAATTTGAAAATAAATTATATTCAAAAACAGATAAATCACACACCTTACATCACAAATGGTGAAAATGTCAATGTTAATTTTCAAGTATGTTAACCTGGTACAGTGTAGGACATTGGTCCCTAACATAACTACTGATAGTGCAACTTCACACATCTGGAGATGGCAACTGGCTGTTGTTTCTATGGAGAGTCCGAACTGCTGAGGGGCAAGGCACATCATCAGTGCTTGGTGTCTCAGTGAATGGCTGAACAACACTAGAAAAAGTCTCAAGACTAACGCACTCAGACAGCATCTTCCAAATCCATTTCCATCTGGAAGGACAAGGGCAGCAGATACATGAGAACACCACCATTTGCAAGTTCCCCTCCAAGCCACTCACCATCCTGACTTGGAAATATTTTGCTAATCCTTCACTGTCACTGGGTAAAGATCCTGGAATTCTCTATGCACTGGCATTGGGGGTCAACCCACAGCAGATAGACTACAGCAGGTCAAGAAGGCAGCTCACCACCACCCTCTCAGTTGGAACTAGAGAAGGGTACTAAATGCTAGCCTGCCAGCGATGTCCACGACCCACAAAAAAAACTTGAGAGAAATGGCCCATAATGTATTAAAGTACGTAAAAATAGATATTGAGGTAATGTGGCACACTGGGTAGTGTGATCAAAAGCCCCACAGTGGAGTTCGACCCCAGGGTTCAATGACCAAGAAAGGTGCAGTCAAAACAGTTGGGTATCAACCCGCAGAAGTCCTTCCAACACAATGCCCAATGGAAGACAGTAAAATCAAGAGTGTTTCATAGTCAGCAAAATGTAAACAAAGTTGGAGACTCTACTATCACCATCCATAACTCCAGACAACATGGAGGCAAAAGTGCATGATGCGACAGCAGCTCTGGCTCTGAATGATCTTTAACAATTATCACCAAAATGAACTGTCAGCCAAAGTTTCTGAAAGATTTAAAAATAGCTTGTCCTGTCATTTTCTCAAATTAAATTAAAACCATCTGTATTCATCTAACAACGAGAACAAGCTCTCATAATTACATGGTATGTGACAATGCCAATTCAGTCACAGAGTCATACAGATGTACAGCATGGAAACAGATCATTTGGTTCACTCGTCCATGCCGACCAGATATTCTAGATAAATCTAGCCCATACGCCAGCATTTGGCCCATTTCCCTCTCAACCCTTCCTATTCGTATACCTACCCGGACACCTTTTAAATTGTATCAGCCTCCACCACTTCCTCTGGCAGCTCATTCCATTACACGCACTACCCTCCGCATGATAAAGTTGGCCCTTAGGTCCCTTTTAAATCTTTCCCCTCTTACCTTAAACCTATGCTCTCTAGTTTTGGACTCCCCCACCTCAGGGAAAAGACCTTGTCCATTTACCCTATCCATGCCCCTCATGATTTTATAAACCTCTAAGGTCACCCATCACCTTTGACACTCTAGGGAAAATAGCCACAGTCTATTCAGCCTCTCCCTATAGATCAAACCCTCTAATTCTGGCAACATCCTTGTAAATCTTTTCTGAACCCTCTCAAGTTTCACAACATCATCTTTTCTATAGAAGGGAAACCAGAACTGCACACAGCATTCCAAAAGTGACTGAACCAATGTCCTGTATGGCCACAGCATGACCTCCCAACTCCTATACTCAATGCACTGACCAATAAAGGCAAGCATACCAAATGCCTTCTTCACTATCCTATCTACCTCTGGCTCCACTTTCAAGGAACAACGAACCTGCACTCCAAAGTCTCTTTGTTCAGCAACACTCCTCAGGACCTTACCATTAACTGTATATGTCTTGCCCTGATTTGTCTTTCCAAGATGCAAGACCTCCCATTTACCTATATTAAACTCCATCTGCCACTCTTGGGCCCACTGGCCTGTCTGATCAAGGTTCCCATGTACTGAGGTAACCTTCTTCGCTGTCCACTACACCTCCAATATTGGTGTCATCTGCAAACTTACTAATCATATGTCCTACGATTACATTCCAATCATTTATATAAATGACGGAAAGCAGCAGACCCAGCACTGATCCTTTCGCATGCCACTGGTCACAGGTCTCCAGTCGGAAAAGCAACCCTCCACCAACACCCTCTGTCTTCTACCTTCAAGCCAGTTCTGTTTCCAAATGGCTAGTTCTCCCTGTATTCCATGTGATCTAACCTTGCTAACTAGTCTACCATGACAAACCTTGTCAAACACCTTACTGAAGTCCATATAGACCACGTCCACCATTCTGCCCTCATCAATCCTCATCAGTCAAACATATACATTGTATTTTGGGCAAATTTGGGTGAATTTAAATCACAATTCTTTGACAACCTCAACTGTAAACAAACAAAGTCCGTTATGGAATATTAGGAACATGGAATCCTGGCAGTGCGATAAAGGCAAATCGGCCCATCGAGTCTGTGCCAATCCTCCAAACAGCAGCAACCTATCCCCATAACCCTGCATTTACCATAGCTAACCCAAATAGCCTGCACAACCCTGGACAGTATGGGGCAATTTAACACAGCCAATCCACTTAGTCTGCACATCTTTGGACCAGAGTAAATCACAGCACCCAGAGGAAACCCAGACAGACATGGGAAGAACATGCAAACTCCACACAGACAGTCACTCAAAGCTAGAATCGAATCGGCGTCCCTGGCGCCAAGGGACAACAGTGCTAATCACTGTGCGGCCCCTTGAGGTAGGCTATTCAGCCTCGGGTCTGGAATCAGGTCACAGCTGATCATCATTGATGCCATATTCCCACACTATACCCATACCTCTTAATATCAGTAGTGATAAGAAAGATATCAGTCTCTGCCTTGAATTTACTTAGTGACAGATCTTCCATCGCCCTCTTTGGTTTTTATCAGGGAGAAAGCAGGAAAAAGGCATGGAGAAACAAATCAGCCATAATTGAATGCTGGAGCCGAATCGATAGGCTGAATAACCTAATTCTGCTCCTGTCATGTGGTCTTAAGGATTCTGAAAATTCACCGCTCTCTGGGTGAAGACATTCATCCTCATCCCAGGCCTAAAAAGGTTTGCCTTTTATTCTGAAACTGTCACCTCTGGTTTAGACCTCACAGCTAGGGAAACATCCTTTCTGCATCTACTCATATCACTGTAAATTTCAATGAGATCATCCTGTATTTGTCTGAACACCAAAGAATACAGGTCCAGTTTCTTGAATCTCTCCTCACAGAAAGGTACTACTATCCCAGGCAGGAGTCTGGTTAACTTTCGCTGCACTCTCTCTATGGCAAGTATATCCTTCCTTAGGCAAGGGGTCCAGACCTGCAATTGTCTCACCAGTGCTATATACTATTGAAACATTACTTCTTCATTCCTGTATGCAAATTCTCATGATTAAAGGCAACATACTGTTTGCCTTCCAAACTGTCTGCTGCAATTGTATGCTAGCCTTCAGTGACTTATGAACAAGGGTTAAAATAGGCTGCTCCCTGGTTGGTTCCTCAACCAATTGCTCCAGAAAATGATCTAACACATTCCAGGTTTCTTCCTTCACAGCACTGGTGCTCATAGATTTACCCAGCACATATGTAGCCTGAAGTTACGTGCACATCTAATTTCCTGATTTGTATGGTGCCCTACATTTTCAGTACAATTTGGTGGTCTATAAATTATTCCTACCAATGATTCCTGCCATTTGCTGTTTCTTGGCTCCATCCAAACAGATTCTGCATCCTTTCCTTCCAATTGGAGATGTTCTCTCAATACTATACTGACCCCATCCCTTATGATCAGTACTAACCCACTTCTTTATGCCTACCCATGTTAAATGTCAAATGTACTTTAATATTCAGTTCCCAATCATGGTCACTCCTGCAGCCACATCTTCATAAAAGGCATTTCAATTGCACCCTTTTACTAGCACCATCAAATCATCTATCTAATTGCAAATGTTGTATATGTTCAAGCAGAATGCTTTCAATTCTGTCTTCTTAACATTATTCTGTCACTTGACCCCTATTTATTTTAGGTTTTGCTTTTTCTGCTTTCCACCTTCATTTACAACTTTTCTACCTCGTCTCAAAACCAGATTTGATTTTACCCTATTTGAATTCCCGGTTAAAATTCCCTTCCCTTAACAAGCTAGTTTAATGAGAAAGCACAGAAGAAATGGAGTGTCAGACAATGATAGAAAGTGAGATTCTTCCAATCCTTTTGTCACGGTGATTTCATGCAAGCAAGACTAAACCTGCTGATCTTAACAGAACTTCATGGAGCATCCTTTACTGTGAATCAGCAAAATGAAATGGTTCATTACAGTCAGAATTATTAACAAAAAAGTTTGATCTTCAAGAAATTATTCCTTGGACACAAGAATGGAAGTAAGCCATTTAGTTCCTTGACCTTGCTCTCCCATTCAATGAGATCATGCCTGATCGGTGATCTAACTTTGACTTGTAGACTTTACAATTGTTTAAATACAGTGGGGTTAAAAACTCAATAGTACATAAAGTTCTAGATGTCTTAGTATATGAGTTAGTTGGCTGGTACAGCAAGTGATCAGGACACAAATGGAATGTTCTGGTTTATTGCAAGGATAATGTAAAATTAAAGTAGGAAAGCTTTATTGTAGCTGCACAAAATATTGTTGAGACCATATCTGGAATAATGTGTACAGTTTTGGACTTATTTGAAAAATGTGTAGTTACTTTAGAAACAGTTCAGAGAAGGTTCAGTGGACTCACTCATGGGATGAATGGTTATCTTACGAACAAAGGTTGAACAGTTTAAGCCTTACAAGAATGGCAGGCAATGTTACTGAAACATATAAGATTTGAGGAGACTGGATAGATGAATTCCAGAAAAAAATTCCCTATGTGGAGGGCTAAATCTAGGAACAGAGTTTAAGAATAAGAGATCTTCCTTTTAAAGACAGAAACAAGGACAACATTTTTTTTTATCTCAAAGGGTCTTTTGAGTGTGGAGCTGCCTTCCCAGAAGGCAGTTTTTAAGGTAGGCGGAGTCTTTACATTTATCCAGTACAGGAGCAGGGATGTTGTTGTTGCAGTTATACAGGGCCTTGGTGAGGTCACACCTAGGATATAGTTTTGATCTCCTTTTCTGAGGAAGGATGCTCTTGCTCTCAAGGGAGTGCAGCGAAGGTTTACCAGGCCGATTCCAGGGACGGTGGGGACTGACGTTCAAGAAGAGATTGACCAGGTTAGGATTGTTTTCGCTGGAGTTCAGACGACTGACGGGGATCTCATAGAGACATATAAAATTCTAACAGGACTAGACAGGCCAGATGCCGGAAGGATGTTCCCATTGGTAGCTATGTCCAGAACCAGGGGTCACAGTATGAGGATTCGGGGTAGACCAGTTAGAATGGAGACGAGGAGACATTTCTTCACCCAAAGAGTGGTGAGCCTGTGGAATTCATTACCACAGGAAATAGCTGATGCCAAAACACTGAATGTATTCAAGAGGCAGCTAGATATAGCACTGGAGGCGAATGGGATCAAATGTTATGGGGAGAAAGCAGGATTAGGCTACGGAATTGGACGATCAGCCATGATCAAGAAGAATGGCGGAGCAGGCTCAAAAGGACCGAATGGCCTCCTCCTACTCCTATGTTTCTACCAGAGTCTGAGTTAGAGGGATTTTTGATAAGGATTGAAAGGCTAGGACTGCAGACTGGAAAGTGAAGCTGAGCCCACAACCAGATTGGCTAAGGCTTTTTTGAATGATGGAACAGGCTCAAAGTGCCAAATGGTCTACTCCTTCTTCTACTTCCCAATGCTCCTACTTCCACTGATGAACAAAAATGTCCACTAACTCATTTTTCAAATTAATAACTGATCGAGCATCACTACGACTGGCATATAGAGTTTGCCTAATTTCATTCTTAGCCCTAGCTTTTAATCTGCACACTAGTTCAAGGCTCTCAAACCAGAAGAAACAGATTATCTATCTGGTCCTATTAATATCCCAAATACCTTGATCAAATCATTCAAAATGATCTGAATTCCAAGGACTATAACCCTAGTTTGCTTTATCTCTCATCATTTAACTCTTGGAGTCCAATATCATTTTGGCAAATGTACTCCCTCCACGGCCTCTTCCTAACCCCAAGTCTTCTCCATAAGATTTGGTGCTCAGAACTCATTAGTCCACGTGTGATCTAACCATTTGTTTGTAAAGTTACATTGTAATAATGTTTACTTTCATGGATCAAAGAAAACATAAATTATACTCACTTTCTCATCATGTAGAGATCCCCACTTGTATTGAATGGTGGTCTTTGTACAATTACAGTTCCAGGGTAAGAGTTAGGTTTCATATCTGAATGACTAAGTAATTGCATTCCAAAAGGGCCTTGATTCATCACTTGATGGGGTATGACATGGTTGGATGTTGAAGTTATTACTGAACGTACACGCAGTAGTTGTGGATTATATGTCTGACCATAAGGCAGTCTCTGTACATTATGGGATGGTGCATTAGCATAAAGTGCAGGGTGTGGAATTTGATGTGAATAAATTCCACTGGTTATTTGACTAGTATTATAAGTTGCAGAAACTGAATGAATAACCTTTTGCCTTTTAGTTGCAGTTTGGCCTTCAAAATCTAAATAGTCTTGTGATCTACCATGTGTACTAGCTTCCCCATTGTTTTCAATCTTGGAAGCCACAACAACTCTCTCTAATGCCTCACTTTTCTGCTTTTGTATTGAAGCTTCATGCACAGGTTTGCATTCATTTCTTTCCGATATTTGGTGCTCAGAATACATGTCAGTTCTTTCCCTTAGAATCGCCTGTGACTGCCCACTGCCCTCTCTTAAGAATAAAAGTGGTGACTGGTTGTACAAACCAGGTTGCCCTGCAAGGTAACTCCTATCAGGCATTACAGCAGACTGAATCGATTGCTGCGGGTGATAGCCAATATTGTTCATATGAGAGGACAGTTGCTGCTCCATCGGATGCTGGTACAAATGAGAACCCTGGCCTTGTATTGGATGAACCACCATAAGATGAGGAGCATGCTGGACAAAGGAATGAGCTGATGCCAGGTTCTCAGGATTGCAACCCACATAGTGCAAGTAAGCTGGCACTGATCCAAATTGATGCCTTGTGTCAGGGCGAGCAACAAGCATTGCAGGGTTTCGATGCTGAACACTACCAATAGTTCCTCCACTACAATTAGGAAGATTTGAATGTGTTCCTGCATTGTTTGCTAATTTTAGTCTCAGATTTTCTGTTGATTTAGGATTTCTCATGCTTTGCTTTCCACTAGTGGTTAAACTATTTGACAGTAACAAATTCTGCTCCTCCCTTAATTTGCATCCTTCAGAGTCTTTTTCTCCAACTTCATTGCTTTGAAATAATTTCTGTTTCTTAAGTGCTAAAATTCCACCAAGTCTCTCTGATTCTGTGCTTTTTCTTGTAGTGTCTTGCTGAAGTAGATTAGCTGCTGAGGTATTTAGAGAGGTTACTTTATTAGAAGTAGGCTCTTTGTTCACCAGATAATGCTGATCTGTAGAAAACAAATTGTTGTAGGTTGTTTGATCTAGATGTACACCTGTAGAGTTTTAAAATGCAAAAAAAAATTAGAAACAACAAGGTTAATTTTGCTTAATCCAGGATGTCAAGTTTACTCCACCCAATAAACAATTAAACAGATGATTGCAGCAAAGGAAGAAAAAGATGTTGCTGTGAATACAAAATCTAAATCTTTCAACTAACTGAACTAAAGCAAAAGCAGTGCTGTATAATTCACAACATTTGTATGCACCTGTAATTTGCCCTACATCTAATACAAGTAGACTCTTTCCTCTGTAATTTTAAACCTTTTAAGATGCGCAGTAAAATGGATGAAGGGTTTGCAAAAAAAAAGTTGAAATTTACTATATGTCCTAGATAAAGTTTTCTCATCCTGAAAATCATACCCTTTGAACAATGCTCATGATTTATGGGAGAATTAATTGCTGAAGAAAGTTCAGAACCTCTAAATCAGACTTTTTAAATAATGAGGATGAATGTTTCAGAACATCGTGGCAGCTGCCCCCCCACAGCCCACTAACAGGAATGGCTGTGCCACTGTCACAGGCTGGAGGTCATATTTTCACCTCTCATGGACATGATGGCGTACAACAGAGCTGCCAGCTCATCAGATGGCCAGCTGCTATATAGTCAAGGCAGAAGTGGCAACTACTGGGACTACAAATGGACTCCAAATGGAGTTAATTACTGGAGCTGAACATCAAGGTAAGCTGCGTGGAGGTTGTGGGTGGGGGGATGTAAAGGGAGAAAATATTACCTTAGGATAGGGGATGTGTAGCCAATGAATACAGAGGACCCACAAAAGAACATCTTCCCACCAGCTCTAGCAAGTATTGTTATTGGGCTTCCTGCAGAACACAGGCCTCTTGTTGTTTTCAGTAAAATAGGGATGGGATGAGGCCAAGAGCAGGGTGGCATGGGCTGGGCTATGCAGTACCATCATCTCCCCTCCCACAAAATTTCATAAAAGTCAGGAATAGGTGGGCAACATGTTGGCCACATGATAGACTTTGTGACACCCCCTCACCATTAAATCCACCAACAGGGGTGCGTAAGGAATTTGTGACAATATCTATTTTTCTTTTCTAAAACAGACACATTAATTTTGCATTACTCACAGATGTGAGAACTTGAGGGGTAACTTTTTCATGCTGCAGGAGGCTGGTACAATTATAACATTTAAACAGCATCCGGATGGGTATATGAATAGGAAGGGTTTACAGGGATATGGGCCAAATGTTGGCAAATGGGATTAGGTCAGTTTGGGGTGTCTGGTCAGCGTGGACAGGTTGGACCAAAAGGTCTGTTTCCATGCTGTTAGACTCTATGACTCAATGTCATTGATAAGGTTCAAAAACATATCCAATGCTTGAAATACCACCTGGTGTACCTACTTACATAGAACCTCATAGAGGAAGCTCATCATGTCACTGCTAGCACTTTGAAAGAGCTGCTCTAAGTTCCACTCCCCTGCTCTTTCCTACAACCCTGTAAATTTTCTCCCCTTTAAGCATTTATCCAATGCCAAGTTATTACTGAATCTGCTTCCAGCACCCTATCTGTATTTCAGATTTCTAACCTTAACATAATTGTTCATGCCCTTGCCATTTACTAATGGCCTCTCTATAATAATTTCTTCTGTCTCTGCCTGAGTGAACAATGCTTACTTTAGCTACTCTCCTTTTTACATGCAGTAAAAGTTTTGTTTATTATATCCTTGATTAGTTTACTGTCATGCTCTATATTTTCCCTTGTCAACTTTTTGGTAGCCTTTTGCTTATTTCTGAAATGCCTCCAATCCTTAGACTTATGACTATTCTTTGCAACACTATACACCTAATTTGTGATAATCTAACACTATCTTCAAACCAATAGTAAACAATGAAAGAACCTTTCTGATGAATTTTCACAATTGGTGTATTTAAGAGTGACTAGAACCATTTTTGGATGCTACAGCTGACAATCTTTTTAATTCCAAAGTTCTATTTTTAAGGAAAGTGTGCAGGCTTCAAAAAAAAAAAGGAAATATCCATTAGGTACTGCAACTGTCAAACATATAGTTAGCGCTAAAGTAACGCTAAATTTACAATGCCTGCTAGATTGAACTCTTCTGTCTCTGAAGTCTGAACAAGAAAATTAGAAGCCCTTTCTACTCTGTGTTCTTCCATTAAAAAAAACTATGATAAATCATGCAGCTGATTTTAGCCATGAGCGGTGGCAAAAAGGCATAAGAATCTCGCAATTTATTCCTTCTCCGGAATTGCTGCATCCTTGTATCTTTCCGATTTAACAAAGTTCAGACCGGGAAATTAAGCAGAATGTGACCAAAGCCAGTCTTCCTTGTCTCTGACTTCAACATTTTAACATTTCACTGTATGATTTTGTAGTTTGAGATGCAGCACACATCTAAAAATATCAACTGGTCAAAACAACTGTACATTTTCACGAAGAATTAAAAACTAAAAAATCAGAAAGTGTTTAGTTATAAAATTCAATTAATGTAACAGTTTATGGCATTCAAATCAGTTACCTTTAACAGGTGCTCTTTGAGGGGTTTGATCGAGTGGACTGCTTGGAGATTTATCCAGATTAAAATCTGAAGTTTGCACATTAGGCTGACTTAGATGCAGTTCATTGTCTTGCACAGAAATTCCACATGCGTTGGGTAAAGTTTCATTTTTAACAGGACTTCTAGCTTTACTTATTGAATTACTTGTTGCTGTCAGATGAGTCTGCACAACAGGACTTGCATTCTCCATTGACACTGCCCGATGTGTCATGGGATTAGGCTGCCCTTCTGGAAGTCTGTCTTGAGGATGGTGACTGGAATGGTTCAAGTATCCAGGCGATTCTGCTGCTTTAGTCTGATTTATATCTGCCACATGACAATCACCACTTGACACATGTGGCTGTACAGTTGCTTCTCTGTTTCCATGCGTCATTGGGACAGCAGTGGCTGCGTGGGAACTGAGTGTTTCTGTCCGAGTCTGTTGAAGGCCCAGATTTGCAGATCTATTTGGTTTACACACAGGGGAATGTTTTGGTGCTTGGACACCAACAGGGTCAGCAGGCATACCAGTGTGAAGTGGTGCATCCCCATGACCATCAGATGAAAGGCCAACTGTTTGTAATTTTGTAGAACTAGGTCCAACTGAAGCAGGTGTTATTGGCCCATTCATCAACATTTGTTGCTAAGGAAAGAAAGAATAAACACTAGTTCAAAGGCTGTTTCGTGGATTTATTTGCATTGTCAGGATAGGCTGACTGCATGATCAATAAAACATACAATATCCTAGGCTTTAAAAAAAGTGGAATAAAGTACTAAAGCAAGGAGGTTGCATTAAACTTATGCAGAATACCTGTTTGGCCTCAGAGTATTTGTCCAGTACTGGGCACCACGCATTAGATATGAAAACATGAGACAGAATGCATGAAAATTCATCCAAATACTTCCAGAGATGAGGAACTTCAATTACAAAGCTATAATGGGAGAGGCTGCAACTGATTTACTTCCAGAAGAGGTGTACACATGAAGGGTCTGGAAAGAGTAGATTGGGAAAAACTGCACCCATTGCAGGAATAATCAAGAACAAAAGACACAAATTTAGTGTAACTGGCAAAAGAAACAGTCACAAGGAAGACATTTTTTCATATATCAAGTGGTTGGGATTTGGAATATACAGTCACAGAGTGTGGTTCAATCAGATATTTGAGGAGGAACTGGATTATTATCTGAAAGAGTAACTGGGAAAAAACTGGGGATGATACTCAAATCGGAGAAATGGCACGTGATGAGTCAATTGCCACCTCCTATGCAGTAAACATTCTGCAGTAAACAAGAACAGATAGGGGTAGGCACCCTCTCAAGGATCTTTACTCAGAAGATGATAGATGGAGCTCACTTTGAAACAGAAGTTCAGTGAGACACAGCAACAGACCTAACCCTCACTTATATCAAGACCCAATATTAAATCAATCTTTACTTAATTTTCATCTTCCTGAATCTTCACAACTAAAGTAAATAGAGCTCGCTTGCTGGCAAATTCAAATTCTTATCATGAAAGTAAGCTCTATCAGCTGCCAGGAATTAAACATTCTACATCTCCTAGGTCAGTTATAGCAGAAACAGATGATTCAAAAAGATGTCTTAATATCAACTCCCCTATGATGGTACAAATCTTTTTATTTATCATAGCAGCTTGCAACACAACCTTCCAAGTAAGATCGTCAAATAGTGATGAATTTTAGCACAGGGAAAGCTGGTTGAAATTTTCCAAATTCCAAGAACTAAACAGAAAGAAGAGGCTTCATCTAAATCAGACAGGAATAAATTAAAAACAAATCCCCAAGGTTAAACACTGGAAAACACATGGTTACCCAATCAAATATTCATGTACTCTACAGCAGTATACTACTTGCCAGCTATTTTATTTTAATACATTTTAGTGGTAAATGTAAAAAATACATTATAATATTGCCATTTAGTTACAACAATATAAGCAGGATAGCAACAGTATGCAAAAAAAATAGCAACAAAAGCAGCTTGGTGGCACACTGAGTTTTTACTGGACTTAAAACATATAAAGTATTTCAAACAAAAATATGTTACTTCTCAAAACTAAATACATTATAAAAAAAAACTGTGGATAAGAAGTTATGTTGGTGATATTGATACGGCTCAAAATACCTGCATCCGATATTGCTGCTGAAACCGTTTCCGTATTGGCTCCATAACAATCCGTTCTGGTACCCTAGGAATCGGAGACTGATGAATGACTTCAGAACATGGGTGTGGGCTGCTGGCTGAATTTTTCTACATGTTGAAAAGAAGTGAGATTTAGTAGTTAAAGGTAGAATGAAATCAGCACAAGTGATCAAAAGCTAAAGCACACAAAAACCTGCATCCCTTAGCAAGGCTTTATTCAGTCATTTGGCAATGTTCTGAAGTGTGCCTCTACGTTATACTTGGAGATGTCAGCACAATTTAACTCACAAGCTTAACCTTTGTACCAAAAAGGCAGTTTCTTTATATTGCGTTGGACCTGAGGGAGTTAATTGTCATATTTAATGCTAATCTGATCAATGGCATCACCCACTTCCCATTTCAAACTATCCTAACTTTTTTTAATATTAAAATTATCATTCCCAGTAAATGGAAAGATTTTCTACATAAATCTTGGTTGACACAATCATTTGTTTGCTCTAGCTTATGGCAGTTCACAACGTCTTCTGCAGCAATTGAAATTTTTGTTTTGATACTGCAGTCTGGAATACATGAAACAAAAAACAAACGGAGTATTGTGAGCCAATAGCAACATCTATGCTATGATCAGCTGATGCTTTGTTCATTTTCTGAAGAATTTCTGAAGGGTCCAGGCCCGAAACGTCAGCCTTCCTACTCCTCTGATGCTGCTACGCCTGCTGTGTTCATCCAGCTCTACACCTTGTTATCTCGCTTTGTTCATTTCGTTTGAAAGACCAAGTTTAACCTGAAACTAGGCACTGGGTCCGTGATGGTGGATGGGGTGTGGGGTGTATACGTGTGGGTGGGGAGGCGCAGTCAGGAAGGATAATCATTAAGCAGTGCAAGAATCTATGCACTCAGTAACTGAATATAAACCAATTACATAAAAGTGCAAAATGTTTAATTCAGGGTTTCTCATCGATTGCAGTATGGAGATCTATAAAAGCACATACTCTGACGGAGAATTACTCTCAACAACTTCTCTCTGTTCTCATAAGAAGTCCCAAAGTTGTCAGTTTCAACAAAGAAAATTACAGAAAATGCAGACAATACTATTGTCATTATTATAGTAAATTTGTGATCTGGACGTCAAAAATCATTAGGATTTGCTTGGTGTCAGGAAGGGGTACAAACCAAATTGTGTACTAGTGTTCAGTTCAATCAAACCACAGGTGCTCAGATATGAAAAGCAATGCCTGAAAGAGTTGTGGAATTAGACACTTTCAAAGGACAACTAGATATATACTAAAAGAGAACTCAGCATGAGGTATGGGGAAAACTACTAAGGAGTGGGACTAAATTAATAGTACTTTCAAAAGGTAGGCACAAGCACGACAGAACAAATGGTTTCCTTCTGTGCTGCAGGATTCTAAGATTTTATGAAATCCTACAACTTCTAATTTAATTTCCATAGTGTTGGGCCTGATCAGTTTCTAGCAGGAAAGCTAAAATTACCGCCTCTTAAATTAGCACTTGAGCTGGATGGAAGAAACGGCAAAATAAAGGAGGGGAAAACAAGAATCCTTTACTGTAAGTATTTTGTTACTGGGATGTAGGAAAAGCTGACAAGGCCACAATATCATCTTAGCTGCCTTAGGTGGGATTGATCAGGCTTTTTCTTCATTTGTACCCATGCTCCACCCTCCCTCCCTTCAAAGCAAGCTTCAGAAAGTATCTAGAGTCAACAACAGATTGTGTCATTGGTTAACATATGAACTGGTGTCTAACCTCACTGAATGAGACAGCTCAGGGACAAACATAGGTGGGATGAAGGAAGTAAAATTCAACAGTATTGAAAACTAGAAAATTTTCTTGCCTTTTCTTCCATAATTTGCATTTGACTTGGCAAAGGTAGCTTGTTGCAAAGCTGCTGGTCAGCACCTTCCTTCTTGCTGGAATCAGCAATGATGTGTGGAACATTGGTGGTTGGACGACTGTTTACAAAACCATTGACTTTGTGTGTTCCACAGACATGATCAGTTGTTTCAGTGAGTATCTCAGTTTCATCATTAGCCAAGTGATTAAGCTTGCTTTTGTGCTTGTCTTTCTTCTCCCACATCATTTTAGCTTGGAAATCATCATCACTATCCACTTCATCCTTCGGAAAGTACTTGGCCATTGCTTTGTTGAAGCACCTTTCTACAGCTCGCGCCATTTGGGTATACTCTAAATATGTCAGTTTGGTAGGAAAGATTAAATTAAATTAAAAATTGTAAATGAGTTATCTAAAATCAAGATCTTGAAAATAAAACTAAAATAGTAAAATTTCTCTAACAGATCTTACGGATCTACTCCAAAACCTTAAATTTCTCTAACAGAACCCAATGTCTTATATCAAATAAAAACTTAAAAGGGTGTAGAATGAACTAATATGCTTAAGCCTGAAGTAGAAATCTGTTTATACATAATAACCTGGAACAGTTTGTTCAATATACCATGTCAAAAATTAATCTTAATATACTTAGAGTCTTTTAATGTTTGCAATATATTGTGCCTCAGGCAAATTCAAAACCAATACATTCTCATGTCCCATTCTGTTTAACATATTTTAAAGTTCATAACTGTAACAATTATAGTATGTCTGTCTTAGAGTGAAATGAAGATGTTATCACAACTTGATCCAGAGGAAAAGTGAGTCCAGAGGATGTTCACAAGAATGATCCCAGGAACGAAAGGCTTAACACATGAGGAATGTTTGAGGACTCTGGGTTTATACTCATCCTTCGGAGTTTAGAAGGATGAGGGGGTATTTAATTGAAACTTACAGAATACTGAAAAGCCTGGATACAGTGGGCATTAAGAAGATGTTTCCATTAGCAGGAGAGACTAGGACCCAAGGGCACAGCCTTACAGTAAAGGGAAGATCCTTTAAAACGGAGCAAGGAGAAACTTCTTCAGCCAGACTGAATCTATGGATTCATTGCCACAGAAGGCTGTGGAAGCCAGGTCATTGAGTATATTTAAGACAGAGATAGACAGGTTCTTGACTTTTAAGGGGATCAAAGGTTATGGGGAGAAGGTGGGAGAATGGGGTTGAGAAACTTAATCAGTCACGATTGAACGATGGGCCGAATAACCTAATTTCTGCTTCTAAGTCTTATGGTCTAAGCCATGTCTATTCAGGGGCTCAAGGAAGTATGTCACTGACCTTTTCCTTCACATGTGGCTAAATCAGACTGAGCATCAAGATTAAACATGCACTGTTGCAAAGCATTACACCACCAACCACTTGGTATAAAGGAAATCAAAGTAGGAAGAGGTACTGTCTCAGGTTAGTTAGGAATTTAAAGCAATCATTTTATATGATCAGGTATCAAACTAACCATTTCCTTTCCCATTGTACTGTTCACAGTTGTCAAACATAAGCCTAAAATCTGATTCAAATGCCCATTTACTGCTGTACTTCTTTTTGCTTAGCTTATTTTCAATAGTTGAGAGATCCATTGGTTCCTATAAATAGGAGAATGAATAAATAGAAATAAGCATTACCGCTGCAATGACAATGAGAATCATGGCACTAGAGATCTGTCAGAGATAAGAAAAATATTATACTTCTAACAGGCAAAATTTAGTCAACTATTACTTGTCACCATATTTCCATTAAACAGAGTGATATGTTCATTAACTTGCATTGGTTAAGCAATGACTATCAATTAAAATTAATCAGCATATCTTTAGGCATTGGTTGTTGAAGGGAGACAGGAGATATCGCTGCTTTTTCATGAAAAATCGTTCAAGTCAGGGGAACAGGGGAATCATACCATATTCTAGCTGAATATATACTTCAGTTTTTGAAACAAATTATTAACCTACTAATGCTGTATCGTTAACTATTCAAACAGATTTAAGAGCATTTATTATTGCCTAGAAATATAATGTAGGCCCAATACTTGAAGTAAAGCATATTTAAGTATGGATAAGGGGCAACCAGTCTCTATAACATTACCATGATTTTGCTGTACACATTGACAACACCTTATTTAGATAGTTTTCAGCAGCTTATGATTTTATCTCTACAAACACTCCCAAATTGACACCAAGAAAAAGCTCTCATTTAATTAGTCTTTTCTAAGTTATCCAATCATTCCAATCTAAGTTCTGTCACTTTTTAAACAAACATACACTGTATTGAATGTCACCTCCCTGGTGTAATAAATTTTGTGAATCTAGCAGAACACTACATTCTATTCTTTTACATTTTGTAACCAAGGAAGATTTATATTAAAAAAAAAATTATTTGAAACTGGACCTCAAAATAAATTCACAGCAGATTTTAGTTGCTAAAATTGACAGAATCAAAATAATTTCAAAGATTAATAACCTCTAGCATCCAATTAAATCATTCACACTTTTTAACGTTCCTTTTATCCCAAATGCTACCAAACATATTTGAGGCAATCAGAATCACTTTAAATAACATCAGTTTTAAACTTTAAATTTCTCTTTAAGTCATAATCTTCAGTAAAATTCACATGGCTGCCCTGATGCAGGAAAACAGGAAACAATTAAGATAACAATTAATAATTAAAAAAAAATCTTTTACTCTGACATACCTCAATGATTTTGTGGTAACCAGGTGCATAGGATTCATCCACTGGTTCATTAAAGGGCCATGAATCCTTGTGACCTTTTACAGTATCTAACACTGTCAAAAACAACAAAAATGTCCACTGATTAAAGCTTATACATGAAAGTACAACTAACAGCACTGTACCAAGACCACAGAAAGTAGCTGCATATCCATTAAAAAGTACACAAGCATGAACATTGTATAGAATGTACATCACAAAAACAGGTCAGTCATTCAACTGATCCATGTTTATGCCCATGCTCCATGCCAGTCTCCTCCCATCCATGTTTATCTAACCCCATCGGCATATCCTCTCACTGAGGTTGGTTAGCTCAGTTGGCTGGATGACTACTTTTCAATGTAGAGTGGTGCCAAGTGTACGGGTTCAATTCCTGCTTTGGTTGAAGCCACCATCAAGGCCCTGCCTTCTCAACCTTATTCGTTGCCTGAAGTTTGGTAAAGCTCAGGTTAAACTCACCACTAGATGTCTGTCTCCAATACAGCTTGCACTCCTTTGGGATTATAGTGACTTCCATGTATATCCACCTCCCATTCCTATCCCTCTAATGAGCTTGTCTGGTTTCCCCTTAAATGTATCTATTGCTTCTGAAGAAAGTCTTAACACAGTTAGGATTCAAACAAGGTCTTACTTAAAATGGAAGCCTCTGCAATTATTAGTACATCTTTTTCACAACATAGAGATACGAGTTGTTTAAGTACATAGAGTAAAATCCGGTCACAGTAGAAACTTGGACAAACGTTACGATGCCCACAGATACCATAGAAATATCAGTGTCGAAAAACATACTAAATAAAAACCAAAAGAACTGCCGATGCTGTAAATCAGGAACAAAAACAGAAGTTTCTGGAACAGCTCAGCAGGTCTGGCAGCATCTGTGAAGAAAAAATCAGAGTTAACACGTTTCGGGTCTGGTGACCCTTCCTCAGAACTGATGGTAGCTGAAAAAATATAGTTTGTATGCAGAAAATAGGGAGGGGTTGGGGTAGGGGGTAAACGATAGGATAGAGCCTAAAGAGAGAGAAGAACAGTTGGGCAAATGTTATGATTTGACAAATGTCATAAAAACATACTGTTGAAAAATATACAAACCTTTGTACATTGAAACATACTCTTCATCGTCTGTATAATGCCTGAAATTAAACAAAATTATATTAATGTAAACAAAGAGAAAAGTTCTGGTATTATGAAAATTCCCACATTTACCAAAAGGACAAATTTACAGATTTCTCCTCCCCTTTGCTAAACTTTCCAAGCGAAGGTAGGTGATTGTACGATAGATAATTGCTTTGCAACTAGGAGTCTATGGGAGTTTTCCCTCTTTGTCAGGGAACATCTCATACAGACTTAGTTCAGGGGCTCACCATGTGAGAGAATCATGAGGATTTGTTTATATCCTACTCATTTTCATGTTTCTTTCAATTTATTTCACTACTTTCTTGAACATGGCAACTGCAATTAGGGTATCTACCTGCAGTTATTACCAGCTTGCCATGATGTTCCAACAAGGTGGCTATTTCCATATTGCAGTCGGTAAATTTATGCTGGTAATCTACTCAAACCAAGCATAACAAAATGAAATCCTCTCCTTGACCACTGGTGGGAGAACAAGCGAGAGCAGGATCCCCAGCTAATTTTTCCTTCCCGTTACTGATGGGTGCTGGCTGAGATCAGGTAATTCGGCACAGTGCAGGGACAGAACCAAGTCTCTTCATGGTCAAAATCTGCCAGTATCACAAAAACATTGAATCCATCCAACAACTCACCATGGAGTTTTTGGAGAAAACAAAAAACTCAAAGGAAAGCAGGTAATTGGAATGATACTAAATTAAAGTCTAAATAATTACAGTGAGACTAAATTAAAAGATCAACAGTTAGAATGTAACTAAATTAAAATGCAAACACATCAGATATACAATTGTCAGCTACACAACACAACACAACACAACACAACTGAAAACTTCTTACACTTCAGGTCTTTTCTTAATAGGTTCCTCATGTTTAGCTGGAGAAGGTGCTTTAGGATTACACTTTCTCTTCAGGGTACTTTTTACATAGGACATTTGTCTCTCTTCTCGTAATTGACGACGTCTTGCCCGTTCTGTTTTCAGGGAAGGACAGAAACAAAGTAAACCTACTAATGAAAACTTCTATTTCAATGCTTTGCAACAACTTTTTTGAACAAGTTTTCAAGAGGTATTGCAAGTGAGGCATTTGTTGCTCGCCTCTCATTGTTCTTGAGCTGACTGGCTTGCCTGCTGTTTCAGATTGCAGTGAAGATTCAACTACATTGCTGTAGGTCTGGAGTCACATATAGGCCAGACCAGTTTTTTTCTCCAAAAGACATTAGTGAACCAGACAGGCTCTTACAATAAATTGATAGTTTTCATGATCACAGTCACTAGTTTTATATTCCAGATTTTGAATATTTTCTAATCAACCTGCTCAGGGATGTTATTACATACCTCTGGAGAAGGTGGGACTTGAACCGTGGCTTCTTGGCTCAGGAAGTAGGAAAACTACCATTGCACTTTTGCCATAACATTGCAAGTTGGAAACAGACAATTAAATGGAATGACAGTGTCATCAAAAGGTGCAAATCAAGTTTCAACGGCAAGAAACTGAGCATCTGATGTTCTCCATCCGAGGGGACAGGAACTGGCACTGTGCAGCACTTTCACTAATGAAAGCAAGCGAAAAAGAGGTAACTACAGTATTATTTATATGGCTAAATGCTTCCACATGCCTAATTTGCCCCTACTACAACTCAAGTGAAGGTTGTATAAGGTTCACTATCATTCGGCATTCCTCAGATTCTAAAGCAGCTCACAACCACATAATATGCAGCAAAACCTGGGCAATGTGCATGCCAGAGCTGACAAGTGGAACCTAACATTCACTCTACATAATGCCAGGCAACAAACATCTCCAACTAACCATCTCTGATTTCAACATTCAATGGCATGGCAATTACTGAATCCTTCATTATCAACACTCTGGGGGCTTACCATTAACCAGACTGTAAATTGGACCTGCCAAATGAGTATTGTGTCAACAACAGCAGGTCAGAGACTGGAAATTCTGCAGTTAGTATCTCACTTCTGCCTCTCCAGCATCAACAAGGCACACATTAGAAATGAAATACAGTAGGGTGGTACTTTTATTCACGCATCTAGATGGGTGCAGTGTTAACAACTCAGGAAGCTTGGCATAATCCACTTAATTGGCATCCATCTTTAACACCCACTCCTTCCACTGACAAGTAGTTGCAGTAGTGTAAAGTACTTTAGCAGTACTTAAAAAATCTACATCTTCCACTGGCTAGAAGAACAACGGCAGCACATGCATGGGAACACCATCACCTGGGAGATTCCACCCATGTTGCACACCATCCTGAATTATAGTTCAACCACTTCTTCACTGTCTATGGGTCATAATCCCGTAACACCCTTTCCAAGAGCACCACGGTGCAAATACAACCCCACCCAAGGATTGCAATCGACATCTCCTCTAAGTACACAGCTGCTTCAAGGTTCTGTGCATGGCGATTGATGCCAGCACACCAAGTGCAGCCATGACTTCTTGTTCCAGCAGTTGCCGCCGTATACAGACCTCAGAGGGCTGGTCAACCAGGAAGAAAGTTAGAGGGTACACTGACCGTTACAGCTCAAGGCAGCAATTCACTACTATCTTGTCATTGGCAATTGATGCTGGTTTGGCCAGCAGTGTCCACATCACATGAACAAATAAAGAAAAAGTTTGAGGGAATTTATCTGAGAGAGAAACATGAAGCTTCCCAATAGAAATACAAATAAAGGTCTAAATTAACTACCTTGCACATAATACCATTCGCATACTTGCAAACAAATCAGTATGCTTAGTTCAATCTTCAACAACCTGCATTTATAAAGCACCTTTAACATAGATATCGCAAGTTTTTTTATCTTCACCAGAGTTGTTGATCAAGAGGTTAAAATATCACACACTTTACAAACACTGAGAGGGCTTTACATCTTAAATATGTTACAGTATTCATCTAATATTTTACAAAATGTTGTTCTTTCTTCCCAGAAGATATTTCTTAGATGGTTTATTTTGCTTTACCTTTCAGGTAAAAATACCTTGAGGGAGCCAACATGGCGTATGAGGAGGAGATTAGTGAATATTTTGAAACTGAATATCTTTGAGATAACTTTGTTACATTGGTGACTCAGTCATGTCAATTATTTAGAATACAACAATTTAACATTAACTGTGCAAGTTGCTGTACTGCATTCCTCATTTGACAGACTTATTTCATTCAAATGTTGCTGACAAAATAATTGCAAAGTGTGTTATAATGTCATTGCCATGGTTTTCACTGGTCTGTACCTTTTGTTGTCTCGTAGGCAATGTGCTGCCAGCAGACACCACTACAAGTAACCACTCTCTGCCAGTCATTACTAGAAAAACCTCCCAGTGACCTGGCACAAGCAGAGCAAAACAACAGTTGTTTCATTGCACACCCCCCCTTCATCCCCATCCCAAACTTTTGTTGTACAAAAGAGACCCTTAAGGGATCAGGTACATAATTCTTTGAAGTTTGCCTCATATACAGATAGGGTGATTAAGAAGGCATTTAGAACGCTTGCCTTCACTGCTCACACCTTTGAATATAGAGTTGGGACATCATATTGAGGTCGTACAGGACATTGGTGAGACCTCTTCTGGTGTACTGTGTGTAGTTCTGGTCACCCTGCTATAGGAAGGATATTATTAAGCTGGAGAAGGTTCAGAAGAAATTTACGAGGATGTTACCAGGAATGCAAGGCTTGAGTTATAAGGACAGACTGGATAGGCTGGGAATTTTTCACTGGAGCTTAGGAGATTGAAGAAAATGTCAGAAGAATCGTCTGAACATGGTGTAAACTGGCTGAATGTCTTTTTAGGAATGTGTTTATTAGTGTGAATTTACTCATTTGTCTTCTATTAAATTGAAAAAGGTGGCTTGAAAATAATGCTAAGAGTACATTTTTCAAGTGTGTCAATAAGTTGCACATTGGAGCATAGTGCACATAGTTACCTTTCAAATAAAAGGTCTTAAATTCTGGATGGAGGAAATATACCCACTTTGACCTATAAAAGGAGCATTCTAAATGATTTACCTATCATACTTAATCAAAACAAAATTACCACATAGAAATTATTTAGGTCTTAACGCTTACCTTGTCGGGCAAGAATTTTTCCTTCTTCCTCAATACGCTTAATTTCTTGTGGTGTATACAGCCTCTGTGCTGCAAGGTAAAATCCATCTTTCACACCCTTTTCACCCAGTTGACCGAATAGGGTTTGCCTCTGCTTCAAAACAGAAGACGTCTAGTAGTTCAAAGTGACTTTGGTCAAAAATCATACAATATCAGACTTAGTTAGAAAACCCTCTATTAAATTACACCATTACGTTATAAACAATACAACTAACTTGCAGCTCTCACAATTTTAATTCGCTGTTTGATTTTCTGAGGTGAGAGTGTACTTTATGTGTTGTCTCTCCTGCTTATGGTTCCAATGCACAACATTCAGAATATTTTGATACTGCTAACATGACACTTGCACCAGCACAAGCCTGACAGCCCTATCCGTAACGTATCTTTCAGGGAGGTACATGTCACAAAACTCTGAACGGTTAAGAAGAGAGCAGAAAGAGTGCTGAATGAAAGCTCCTGAATTCAATCAAGCTCTTTGGGAAAGGATACAAGCACAAACTCTGGTGGTGGCTGAGTCAACAGAATCCCTCACACCCCCGCCCCGCAATAACAACCAAAACAGAATCCCCCTCGTCCTCACGTACCACCCCACCAACCTCCGGATCCA